TAAATATTACATAAATAAAAAAATGTGAAATGTTGCCTAACTGAAATAAATAAAAAGTTTAGGTTGAAATACTAAAACCATCAAAACTAAAGCCGAAATAAACAAATTATAGCTCAATGGAAAGTAAAAAGTAAGGTGGTACAAAGTAGGGTAGTATATAGATAATATATAATATATTTCATTATATATATATATATAATTATTAATATATGAATATAATTAAGAAATTAGAAATATTTAATTTGATAGATAAACAAATTATATATATATATATATATATATATATATATAATTTAATAGCTAAAAACTAAATTAAAGAAAAAAACAAAAGCACAAATCAAAAAAATCACTAAAACTTGAACTACATTAAAAATGAAAACTAAAAATATAAAAATAAAAAGCTAATTATACATTCAAAATCGACATCAATATATTAATAAATATTATAATAGTATATAAATAACATTAATATAACACTGTTATATGTTCTCTGATCCTTTGAAATGAATGAGTTAGACATTACTGTATAACATATACTTATTTCACATGAAAAGAGGCCATTTACATAGACATTTTAAAGGTATAATAGCCTGTTTAAATTGTAAGGGTAAAAGAAAACTACATTTTGACATGAAAAAAGAGTTTTTAGTATACTGCTTTGCGTTTAACCCCACCTCTCCACGAATATCCCAGCCTGCACTGCGTGTACGATGCTGCGAAATCGTGGCTTCTCTTCGGTCCGTCGTAGCATCAGGCCCATCTGCCGCGTGAAGGTGGAGGCCAGCCAATCACGGACCTCTGACGGCACGGAACCTGATTGGATATCACTGAGTTCATCCTCGGTATCGACCAATCGCCTTAGAGAAAGAAAGAAAGAAAGAGAGGCACTTTACACGTCATCACCACTTACACTTAAAATATCAGCTGTGACAGGTAATTGTCGTGCATATAAGGAGGATAAACGACTATTTTTACTTATTCTAAACTGTGATTGATGCTCGAGCCAAGACCTACTGGTTTAGGACTAATCCATCACTCATCCGCATAATTATGGTAATACCAAGTGTAAATAAGGAAAAGAAAATATTTGCTTTGAAATGGCACTGGATTGGCATTTAACGATTTTACACCACTAAAACCATCTTCGCAGTAACTGTGCCATAAACATCTGTGTATCCAGACATAAGCTGTTATGACGGATTTAAATCCACAACAGTCACAAATTACAGAGCGAATATGAATCTGATCCGACCGGACCGGTGGTCTCTGAGGTTTGGCATGTGTGCGGGTTTGTTGTAATCCCGGGTCGCAATGACGTTCCAGTTACATAATTCCATAAGCTTTTATCATTTCTGCCATCTAGATGTTCACAGCTGTTATTCTTCACTCTGCTCGTCAAAATAAAAAGATATTAGTGGCACTGGAGCGCTGCATCGCCCTGCAAAGATATTAAATACTATCATTGAGCGGGAATGAAATGGCACTGATAAGGATGGAGTTTTTTGGCTCGTTTCATACCGCAGGTGTTCGTTTATGTGCTCTCAATGCAGCTATCAGCATGTTCTCATGTCCACATTTATTTATTAATTTAGCAATCGCTTTTATCCTGATGAAAACATGTCTGGGTGACATTTCAACTCAAAATAAGATATTATATTTTGTGTAATTCACATTGTGACATTATTTTGATTTAAACACAATTTCTAGCCAAAATCTCTTGTAATGTCATTTTTCAATTTTATTTTATTTTATTTTATTTTGATTTGATTTGATTTGATTTTCAATAAATGGCTTCAATAAATATAGATGTACATAAAATAAAGTTTTAATTAAAACCAACAGAGGTGGGACCAAGTCATTGTTTTGCAAGTCACAAGTAAGTCTCGAGTCTTTGCATTCAAGTCTCGAGTCAAGACAGGCAAGTCCAAGTCGAGTTGCAAGTCCTCAGCTTTAAGATTCAAGTCTTAAACAAGTCATTAGTGCTTTTTGCCCAAATTAGTGTCTCAGTATTAATTACCATATCAAATTCATAGTAATTTATATCAGGAAGGCAGGTAGAATATGTTTGACATAGTTCAATTTCATGTGAGATGGGTGTCCTTAGTAAAACTACTCAAGTTCAATTTAGGGATTGTGCCAAAATAGGATAAGCAGTGAAAAAAACTATTTTATTAGTAACAGAATAGCAAAGACAACATAATTTCATAGAAATAAGAGCTGCAGCATACTTTGCATGTGTGCATAAGAATATATGCTTCTAGGTGTTATATCGAAGCCAATGAGCCATTATTTGGAACCTCAATGAAACAGATTTAAAAATATGTGAGCGGAAACGCAGAAAGAACTGCTTTGAAAGAACTAGAAGAAATAACTAATATCAAGAGAGTTTTTTTGCTATTGCAGCAGTTATAAAAGATCCATCCGTGCTGTATATATAGGTCCGTGTCGCTAAAGACCAGAATATGTAATAATGATCTGACAAAACAGGTCTCAGAGAGGTGTTTATTACAAATTAAAATTAAAATGAAAGCACATGGAGTTGGCAGAGTGCGAGGGTCGTGGCGGGATGCGGATCCGTCACTCATGGTGCACCTCAATAAATAATATTTTCAAATAGAAAACAGTTATTTTGAATTTAATTAATTTTTCACAATATTACAGCTTTTATTGTATTTTTGATCAAATAAATGCATCCACAGTGAGAATAAAAGAAAATACTTTAAAACTTTATTTTAAGGTGCCCTTGTTACAGTGCAATTATACATTTAAGCACTGAGTAATATTATTTGACTACTATATGGTTAGGTTTGGGATTAGGGTTACTTGCATGCAATTATGCATCATTTATTGTTATTATAATAGTAAGTACATGTAACGTGTAAAACCTGACACCTTAAAATAAAGTGTTACCTAAAAATCTTACCAACCACAAACCTTCAAACTCTCTCATGGCAAACTGACTGAAATCTTTATTTGCTGTAGATGTTCTGAAGTGTCTGTAGAAGCTTGTGTTTGTACAACTGAGCTTGATTAATTGAGCTTTTAAGGCCGATTGATTAACTGAAGCTGTTAGTCTTATCAAATCCATCTTCAATAACCCTCTTCCAGGAAAGACTTTCAAGACAAACCACTCAAATGCTCTCTGGTGCTTGATGTGTCTGTTAAAACAATTAGACTGTCTGAGGACATTTTAATGGAGAGCAAAAACTATATCATTATAAAAAGGCAAAATTATAAGCATTAGTCAGCTAAATGGACGAATGATGAATGGTTATGCTTTTTAAATAATACAGTCCTGGGGTCACAACATGACAGGTCAGATTATTGAAATCTCTGGTAAGATGCAATGCAATTTATTGATGGGTGCTAAAAGGTCAGAGATTCAGTCGATTCATTGGTTTGAGATTTGTTCACATTGCTCACAGATATGGAGTTGAAACATTACCACACTGATTTGATCTGTCTGTGATCCTATAGGGACTGCTATATGTGGTAGTTTGCTACCCTCAGGGTAACTATCACATATTTGCATAAACTGTAATGTTAAATGTGTGGGCATTACAGAAGCACAAACTGCAGCTGCGTCCACCGGCACAGGTAGTGTTTTCTACCGTGAAAGAGATTTCACACCAGTAAGGCGGCAGGACGGCTGTCACCACGACAGTCACACAGTGACGGCGTGCCATCGATGCTTTGGGGTCAATGCAATCACACAGGAAGATTCACATTTTCCACTCAACGTTTTGACAGCTGCCTGCAGATAAAAAGGAAAACCCAAACCCCAACGGCCCTGTTCATCCCGACACCTGATCTCAAATCACACTCTTAAACCTCAATCGAACCCAACATGAATAGTAATGCGAAATAAAACACTAACATTTCAGTAGTGTCAGATCAGAAGACTACTTTTTTGTAGTACTACTTTTCAAAGGTTCCTCAATTAGTTTGAGACTTAAATGACATCTTTCTTAGGTCTTTTTCTGCCAAGCCTCTATTTGCTCTTAATTTAATCTCAATGACTACATTTACATGGACATCAATAATCTAATTATTTACCTTATTCTGAATAAGACAATATTACGATTAAGGTGTTTACATGAGTTGCTTTTAGAATATTCCTTTCATGTTCCCGTTTTACATGTTACGGTACATAGATCGATTAATGGCACGCATCATTACGTCCCACGTGACGCCATCCGACGTCCCCTCCGGAATTTCATGTATAGTTCGTCTTCATTGTGATGCCATATACAGTTTGGGGTGTTTCATTTTTAATTTACTGAAAGCTTCAAGTGCAGTTAATTATTAGTCATGCTATACATGCAAACAGACACTTAAATAATGCGACTAAAATAGGAATACTCCACATCAGTGTTAATTTCGTTGACGAATAATTTTCGTCATAACTCTCATCAACGACATTTTTTTCACTGACGACAACGAGACGATAACGAACTAAAACTCTTTTTGAATGACAAAAACTATGACGAATATTTATTGACATTTTCGTCAACGAATAAAAACGAGACGAAAATGTTAGGGAGGGACGATTTGGGAAGAGATTCATTCATAACGAACCTGCTGCGTGGTTCGGAGGTTAGATGCGTACAGAGTACTTAATCAGAGTATTGTCTTAATCGTATTAAAATCGGAGTATTGTTGTCCATGTAAACGTACTGATTGACTGTAGGTTCAAACTCTAGAAGTGATGATCAGTTACAATACATGAATTAACATGAAGATTAAGGCTTGTTTCACACTGCATTTAACTAGATGATTACTGTTAAATACCTGTTTCTCTGTCCTCTGGCCTGCAGCTAATACAGTGTCATTGTTTTTATGTTCAATAATCGTACACAGCATGCATATACATCTCTGGTCAGTGCGACAGAAAACCTCAAGGAGCTTCTCATGTTTCTGGCAGATCATCTCCTGCAGTCGTCCCGTGGCTTCAGTCACTTTGTGTGGCTTACTTGAATGAAACTCCTCATGCCGCTCAAAATGAGTTTGACAGTAAGACTCCAGACACATCAGACAGGACTTGACGGCTTTGTATTTTCTTCCAGTACAGACGTCACACTGCACATCTCCAGCTCCAGCGTCACAGTCAGCAGTAAGTTTGGTCTTCTTCAGTTTCTCCACCAGATCAGTCAGCATGGTGTTTCTAGCTAAAGTAGGTCTTGGACTGAAGGTCTGTCTGCACTGAGGGCAGCTGTAGACTCTCATCTGATCCTCCTGATCCCAGCAGTCTGTAATACAGATCTTACAGTAACTGTGTCCACACTGGATGGTCACTGGATCCTTCAGGAGATCCAGACACACTG